ACTGCAGCCGTTTGGCTTTTATACGATATTCATATTGGCGCAGTCCACGAGACCTCTTCCCTCCTTTCAGCTTTCGTCCATCATATGATGGACATCATCAGAACTGGGTGTCATTCATGTAAAAGTCTCACGTTAACACTAAAGCAAGAAAACTATCCGGCTCTATCTTACTTCTTATATAAACTCAATCTAGCCAAAAATTTAAAAATTAAAAACCTATATAGATCGATATAGAGCGGTTTGGTTAATTTTCTTTCATACTAATCCTCTTATTTTTGCTCGATTGTATAAGTATGTATATTTGTGCGTGTTAGCGTCTATATGCAATACGGTTCCTAGATCAGACTTGTCAAAAGTTAAATCTCAGGTTCTGATCCTCAAGACCTAATTACCCAAGAGAAAATCTTTGACCGAGACTGCCTAAGTCCGTAAATAAGTATGGTTGAGATAATGAAATATGAGCTTGTGAGCATGATAATCAAGTTACGAAACCATTTGTCCTAACCTTTAAGTCAAGGGTAATTAACTTTAACCCTCAAGGAAAGGCAAGACTGAGGTTGCGTAATCTGACATGTCTCGATTTTTTTGAAGAGCTTACTCTAATATTTTGGACGAATTTGAGTAAAATTAGAACCATCACTGAGCAGACATCAACATGACTACTCATAAAAATGGGCCTTTGTTTCTCACTTTTTATGCAAATATTTGTAGATTGTAGCCGGTTTGCTGCACCAATATTTAATGAATTTCGCTACCAGTCTTTCAGGAGTTTCACATTGCAGTTCAACTTCTACTGGTATAACTGAAGAGATCGTTGTGGAGGAGACGCGGGAGTACCTGCGACCTCTTCGCATTTTTTTACGTGAACTGGCCCGCTGGTTCCGGCTCTACAGTACAACTACCAACGCAATCCCGATTTCTTCTCCCTCCTTAGCATCCTCTTCAAATGCCACAGTTACCTCTGGAATTTCCAGTGGTATCGGAACCGTTAGTAATCGAGATTCCAATGTACAAGATCCCCCTAGCTTAATTGGAGGCAGCAGCAGTAACATTTGCAATACTGTTGTTGCTGCAGCGACGAGCATCCATCAACAACACCATCAGCATTACTATTTACCCTATATTGACCTAGCTGGACTTCTTTTGTACGAGAAATCCGTATCAGGACTTAGTCCAACAGCAGCGGCTAAAAGTTTGATTAATAAGCTCTCTGGTGAGCTATCCAGCCAAACTACTTCTGGAAAAATCTCAGCTGCGTCGCCTGGAGTCACACCCAGACATTTACCTACACGGGAATTGCTCATGGAGGTGCTGTATCGCTACCTTATTGGTCTTGTTCAAACTATCTGTCACTTACAGATCCTTTCCGCTTCCAGAGTGGTAAATGAAACGTCGCATCCAAGTGGCAGAAAACGAAGTGAGCATTATCATTTCATTTTTTATGCTTCGTTCTCAAAACTATTGTCTCTATTTCAATTATTAGTCCTTTCAATTATTTTATCTGCAAACTCATTAATTTCATACTTTTTAGAACTGGTTTGACCTCATTTCCGCAACTTGGTCTTGTTGTCATGGTGACTTAGTTGAACGCGGCCTGTGCCAATTACTCTGCTATAATAGTTATCTTAACTCCCAGCACCAGACACTGGCCTTAGTACCTTCTCAGACGTTTGGCTGGTATCATCAGTAAGTCTTGCCATTCTCCGCACCAAGCTACGAACTCGTCAAAGAGACAAATGAAGTCAATCCCTCGACCAACGTTCTGCCGAAGACTGCTACACTATCATTCCTCTTTCTATCCTGGCCCATTTTTCTCATTCTTACCCCTTATCCAATTCCCGTCCTATCACAACTTCTGACTTGTTTGCATTCCACCCGTCAAAATGTGTGCCCTTTTTTGGAAAATTTAGTGTGACCTCACCTGTTATTCACCCCAACCCTCTCTCTTTCGATCGGCTAATCCGACTTGGGCCTCCTATTTGGATCTCCCTCATGGTACCGTAGATCCGTTCCTTATCTTTCTGGTTGACCCGTTTTAATCGGTTCTAGTCCCAGTGTGCGGTTTACTCCAGGCGCTAGAAGTACGTACACTGCCGCCTCACCGAGCAGAGCGCCTAGCCTCTGATTCTCATGCTTGCAGATATTAAACATTGCCATCACGGGTCGTCTCCTTCATTAAGCCCGTATTATCTGAGCAAACTGTGGACGTATATTCCTTGTCGCCTGTGACATCTTAAGGGGATTTTTGGTTCATTTTGGCTACAATGACGAATTTCTGGGACGGTTGTGCCTATCTGTCTGCCTGGTTCCTTGACTGCCAGGCCCACAAAGTTGTACTGGTTTATTCGAATAGACATCACTCACTGACAATTTCTTCACTTGGTTGCCGAAAATCCATACCACTCCTCTTTTCTCATCGTGATCCCCTTCCCTCCGGTTAGCTATAGATA